CTTCCCCCCTGCCACCCCAGCCTGCTATTCTAAGTGGGACCAAAGCACAGTTCTGTCCTTTGCATCCCATAGATGGATGAAATAGAAATTAAACAGAAGCTGTCAAACTTTTATTCATCATTTAGTTCTTTTCAAAGAAAACTTGTAAACATGAACAAAAACTCCAGTCACAACAGCTCAGACGCAGTCTCAACAGCTACACAGTATTTCAACGTACCACAGCTATGGACATGCTCATTCGCTCTCTCCTTCTGTATTTTATTTACACACATATAGTCTTCTATAGGGTAATAATTTTTACAGGTTTAAATATAAATCAACCAAAGTTCCATCTGTAATATTCCTCTGACTGTTCTCTAAGCTTTGAGGACTCTACATGGTCTCTGTTACCAACCTAATGAGGCCCCAAAAGATGCAGGACCTTAATTTCACCCTATGTGTGGCAAACTACGGAGTGCTAAAGACAGCCTACAGTCCCTCGTGGTGGTGTGACAGGGATTAGTTTTAAAAGTAAAATCTAAAACTTTGGAAAGCAAAGCAAAAAGGCATTAGATCTTCTTAGGGTATTTTTAGCTCTTTAAACAATTCTGTCTTACTTGCAGCATTCTCGTTCTGATCAAATATTCATTATCCGATATAATCTCAAAACAATGCAATCCAGCAATACTGATCCTCAGTACAGGATCTCATCTTAATATAAATTGTGCACTCAAAGATCAGGTTATCAAAGGGGAAACTAACAGCAAAACATAGAAAAAAACCCCATCACTTCTATCAAAAAATACTAGGAGAAACTATCATGAGTTCACTGCACAGACTTGAAAGGGCAGAGAAACTCATCTGAATAAACAGCACTGCACCTCGTTACCTCCAGGTGTCTCTCTCTAAAAAGAATGACCTTTATTAGCACAAATGGAGGAGAATTAAACCATAGACCATACTTAAGATGATGCAAATTTCACAGTACCACATTAAGTGGTTTCATTCAGTTGACTTGATCACAGTCCTCATATCTACTCTCTCAAGTTCTAGCTGTGTGCTTTGCAGCTACTTAACACAGCTCCACCAACACAGCCACTGAAGGAGATGTTACCAATCACTGGACTCTTATTATTCAGTTTCAAGAATCAATTAGCTTCAACAAGGCCAAGTGTCGGGTCCTGC